CCCGGTAACCTGGTTGCCGAGGTCACGAAGTGAATTGGCTTGTTTTACAACGTCGTTGCCAAGCGACGAAAACCCAACCCCGATGGCAAACACCGGGGGGGGCGGGGCGGCTTGTTTTGCAACGTCGTTGCCAAGCGACGAAAACCCAACCCCGATGGCAAGCACCGGGGGGGTGTGTGTGGGGGGGGGTCTAATTTCTACTTCGTCACCGTGGATAGAAATCCCTGCAGTCGGGGGGGTAACGACATATTTTCGTGGACGAAACCCCCTGTTCTCTTTCCTGTATAAAACCAAAATCGAAGTTTGCTCCACCGGGGTAGGGGGGTGGGGGGGGTTGGCCTACGTGTCCAGAATTTTTTTTCGTGTGTACCCTTGGTTTCATGCATATGGACAGTTTTTTCACATACCATAAAGCGGGTTTGAGGGGATACGTTTCTCGAGAGGTGCCCGATATCTATACACACGTGTGAAGGGATCTTGCTAGTCCGAGGGCGGCAGAGGAGGATAGGACAGAAGACACAAGACAAAAGGCAGCCCTTGTGCCTTCTCTCGGTCGCAGAACACCCAAAACGACTTGAACAGCGGCTGCGTGCGGTAGGGGACGCCATGCCGAAATCACGGACCTTTTTCCAACTCTGTAAAACCTGCCCCAGCCTTTCCTCTGTTTAGCATGTCTCTATGTGGTGTCCTCTTCCCCTCCCATGTCTGCCAGACTAATTGGGGGTCCGTCACTAACGCCGGTTGAATGGTGTCACTGCCCGTTGTAGTGCCCGTGGGGGTATTGGGTCCCCAAGACTGCAAAAAAAAAAGAACATCCCCATATGAACAAAAAAATACACACCAATCCTCTCCAACATTTGTGTAGTGCTGCATAGATGAAGACGGCCAGTCAGTGATGAAAACAGCGTTGGAATCCATATGAGGTCCCTCAATAGTGCCGGAACGTGAGATTCCACAGCACTACTACACCGGGCAGTGGAACTACTCAACCGGCACTAATGCGGGACCCCCGCTGCTGCATTCAAGTTTTTTTTTCAATCTCTGAATTGATAAGACAGTGCCGGGGGTGCCCTGTGAAATGCCGGTGCATCTGACGGGGCACATGCTGGCGATGCTGAGGGACTTCGTCTGTACCCAACAATTTACCATCGGTCTTGTCCTGCCGGCTCTTCACGTTCGCTTTGAACGTTTGGGTGATGAGGGTTATGTTTAGCGACGGCCAGAGAGACGGCGGGGAACATACGCATAGAAGACGAATCATCACTATTAGACTATTGTCAGCGCTGACCATCAATGGCTTGATATCAGCGTTTGTGGGCAAGTTACTTTTTGTATTCCCTGTGCTACTACGATATTTGTATTTGTTTGGACAATCAACTACTTGGCTCAGAATCTTGTGTAACCAATTGATTCCGTCCAACAACCGGTAGCTGAACTATTTCCCGACTATTCGATAGTTCTTTAGTTACAGATGTACAGGGTATGAAAAGAGCTAGTCATAGGGTCGGAATGGCCCAACACTAAACTCTGAGGAGGGTGAATACCCTCGCCAGCACTGGCATTTACTTCATATGACCACTTGGCTTCCTTTTCTCCACTCGTCACCCGCATCCTGCAGAACAATCCAGGGTCTCACACGAGTCTTTCCGTCACTATACTCTGGCCAAGAGTGTTTTGAACCCGCGACTAACTTTGATAGAAGCCCACACCAAAGCCCAAACAAAATCGTTAAACAATCAGAATGTGATAAGCCTACTGATTTCGGCTTCTATAGAACACAGGTTACACGGGTTGTCGCGGGCGGATCTATCTCTGGCCGAACCTCTCCGAAACTTTGGGAAATGGTTCGAACGGTGTCCAGCAGTAGGAGGAGAAGCGAACACAGCAGCTGCAGCAGCACCACACAGCACCCACCGTCGGCACCGCTGCTGTATCGCGTCTCTTACGGCACCACATCAAGCCCGGCGGGGTTTCTACTCCGTCCAAAACGCCGACACATATAAGTGCAATCATTCGGGGTAAAGCGCCAAGACATGCATGATATTCCTCGGGGTAATACGGCGAAGGGAGTCGGCTCAAACCTGAGCCCAGGTATTCATTTTCAAAGACTTATTTATCGAAAGAGAGAGAGAGTGAGAGTAAGAGAGAGAGAGAGAGAGAGAGAGAGAGAGAGAGAGAGAGAGAGAGAGAGAGAGA